ATCTATCTATCTATCTATCTATCTATCTATCTACTGATTTTGTTATTAGACAAGCAAATTATATCTAGAAAATTTTTATTCTACATATGCAAATTAAAAAATGTGTAGGACTCTAGCAACATTAGTGTCCAATTAGGTTCGATTTCCGTGGAATGCATGAACTAAATCAATGTATACCTTCAATGCAAAGTCAATCCAAATCTCTTTGTATAAAAGCATCTACCGAATCCATGAATATAAAGTAATGTCCATTGGGAAATAAATAAGGTATAATGTACAGTCAGCTGGTCGTTATCACAAAACAAACCCCTTCAGGTTGATGTAAGACCCTGCCACAAAGCAGAGAGGTCTCGAATCGCCCTGAAGGGTTTATTTTGCGATAATGACCCGACTGACTGCACATTATCCAGCATAGTGCATGTCTTCTACCAAATAAATGACTGTTAATATTAATCTGAGGAAGAACTCGGTTACCTGGGAGGTTAGTTTTACAGCTTGACACTCTTTATACAATACATTTGAATGCTGCAGAATGCTTTCCAGAGAGAAATAAATAAATAAATGCATGGTTCATGGTTGAACATCTCCCAGCAGATGCCGTGATGCTCAGCAGGTAGCATAAGGCTGGTGGGGGAAGGGCAGGGAGCTATAAGCAGGTTTGAGAGGACATAAAGGGCTAAATCACTCAGCCTTTTACATGCATTGAGCTTTGCTTATTAACACAGCGTCATCCATCAAGTTGATGCATGATGAATGAAACCCTGTGCTCTGCCTGTATTTCACATCTCACCGGAGCCTGAGCTACAGGCTGCTGATGAAGGATGATCGGCGCTCTGTGTGTAAAAGCCTCAGCGTGCTGCGGATGATAGTGGAATGTGTGTAACATGCATCGCTGGACGCTCATGGTTTATCGTATGGTCAGCCACAACACAATGAGAATGAAGAGATAAGACTTATTGAATGCATTTACACTTATATTTATCTGTTTAGCAGACGCTTTTATCCTAATCTTCTTTTAAATCAGAATTTTGACGGCGTAAATAGCTGAATTATCAGTCGGACAGCTGTATTACATAGTCGTGGACCGCTACGGGTATTTATTTCCAAATATGGACATCTATTATGGCAAATATATTGCTCATTTATAATATAAGGTGAATTCAATTTAATCAGTTGGAATGTAAACATATACACTGAAACTATAACATTTTTTATAATCAATAAAAAGCTGACATATAGTGGCTAAGGGAAACTATATATATATATATATATATATATATATACATACAATATAATCTAATCATACATAAAACTGTATATATTGCTGTTTTCATAACAGATACCTGCTTCTCAATTTTAATTATATATATATATATATATATACATACAATATAATCTAATCATACATAAAACTGTATATATTGCTGTTTTCATAACAGATACCTGCTTCTCAATTTTAATTATATATATATATATATATATACATACAATATAATCTAATCATACATAAAACTGTATATATTGCTGTTTTCATAACAGATACCTGCTTCTCAATTTTAATTATATATATATATATATATATACATACAATATAATCTAATCATACATAAAACTGTATATATTGCTGTTTTCATAACAGATACCTGCTTCTCAATTTTAATTATATATATATATATATATATACATATGCATACATACATATACATAAAATTAGCAGCAAAATATCATTTAAATCCATAAATATAAAAAAAATAAATATATAAATATCATATTGTTTTTTAAAAACTAATATCTATCTATCTATCTATCTATCTATCTATCTATATAAAATTATTATATTTATACTTGTTCATATATTTATAGAAATATTAAGTGGCATAACTGCAGATTTAAAGTATCATGAGCAGAGATGATCGAGTGATGTGCTGCTAGCAGCTGAAGCAGAGATGCTTTGAGATGAAGCACGTTCAGTGTGAACAGATGAAATACAAATGCAGCGTACTGTACCTCTCCTGGTCTGCCTGATCTTTGGACTCAGCATGGCTGCCATCGATGGGCTGCGCTTCCTCCGCTCTTCATATTCCTCCTCCTCAGATCTTCTCTCGGTACATTCTCCCTCCTGCTCCTCTCCTCCGTTCCTCGCTCTCTCCTCTCTCCTCCGCTAGCTCGCTGATCTCATGTTGCAGGCTGGTTGGGGGCTGGGGGAGGGATTCCTCACACACACACACACATGCACACACATGCTCGCTCTCCCCTTCTTACTCACAGACACACACGCTGGTCCACACCCACCAGGCGATGCATTATTCATCATCGCTCCTCTACATTGACCAGTCAGTGTGTGTATGATTACAGCAGGCTGCCTTGAAGAGCAACGCCGCCCGCCTCTTAATTGGTCTCAGGCATATGTACTCACACTCCTCCGTCTCTGGGGATTTATCACCCTGCCTGCCTCTTGTGCACACATATCTCCATCAGAGATGTGCAATACTGGAGCAGTCCACACTGTAAAAAATGACAGTGAATTTAACGGTAAAAGACTGTAAAAATGCTACAATAAAACCCTGTTAAATGGTTAACGGTAAATTCCCCTACTATATACGGTGAAAAACTGTATTGGACATTACATGTAATTTTACAGTAGTATACCGTTTTTTTGGATGTGGAAAAAGACCGTATAATTTACAGTGAATAACCGTAAGTTGACATTCCCAGAATTCCCTGCGTTACATTTACATTTACATTTTTTTTTTTTTTTTTTATAACTATGTTTCTTCTTAGTTTTTACACATTAGGGTTGTATGTTATATCTAATGGTTAATGAAATTACGGTATTTAAATGTAAATTTAAGTTAAAACCGTAAAACCTAAAAATGTTGCTACCGTATTTTTACGGTAAAAATCTGGCAACCACAGCTGCCTTTTTTTTTACTGTAAATTTTATGGATTTTTTTTTTTTAACAGTGCAGTACTTAATCTGCAAGTAACAAATCAACTGGTAAAATAGTACTCAAGCTATTCATGAATTGTAACTGTCCCGTTTAGGTGTTAGGTGGTGATGTTATGGTCTAATACAGCATGTTTCATATCCTGAATATACCTGTTGTGTTTTTATTGTTTCACATATATTACCATTATGTTTCATTAATGTTTTTATTTGCTCTCACATAGGTGTGCGATATTGGCGAAAAATGACATCTCAATATTTATTGGGATTTTTTCAATACAAATATTTAACTCTTTCTCTACCAGCCACTGCCAACATTTTTGATCATTTTCACAAAATTTTAATGGCAGTCAGAATATTTTGTTGTATGAATATCTGAACATGCAGCATGTCAAAACAAAGAACAGAGCCTCTGCTTTTAAACAAAAATAATACAGGAATAAAGACAATTAATACCACACACTCCTACTTTCACATTGGCTGGATCATCTCTGCTCTATATTATATATATTTTTTGACAGATTGTACAAAGTTACAAGCATCTCATCTAAATGTTTCCTCACTTAATGTATTTGTGTTTTTACAATTTGTATAGTTAAGTGTTGATTCATATTTATATTATTAGGAAGATACAGAAATTTGAAAGCGTACAACAATCAATGGGGTAATTTTATTGTACAATAGATTAAAGCACTAGGAACTTTGATTTCAGACTAACAAAGAGTCAGTAATAAAAAAAGAACAAATAAAAAAATTACAAGCAATAGCATAAACAAGATGCAAAAATAATAAACAGTGCTTTAATTTTTCAGGTAGGTCTAACAGTAATATTCAGGTATACAACAGAAATCGAATGATCAAATATCACTGTATAGTCATAAGTGTATAATTAAATACAGATAAGTTACAAAAGTTATTTAGTCAAGAGCATTGAGCGATTTAGTTTATTTTGTTATTTGCTTAACATTAAGGACACAGAAAGGAGCACATAGGCTGCTGTCACTTTAAGACCTCCATATATTGTTACACAAGCATTTTTTTTTACATCATTTTGTGTGTATTTTACTTTAAGTGTGCACACTCCTGGAGCGTTTATGAGAGTGGAAACAAAGCCTGGTTTGTGAATAAATTGTTCTTTATAAATTGTTATTGATAAAATTATTGTGACTTCTTTTGCTTAACATTAAGGACACAGAAAGGAGCACATAGGCTGCTGTCACTTTAAGACCTCCATATATTGTTACACAAGCATTTAAAAAAATTTTTTTTTACATCATTTTGTGTGTATTTTATTTTAAGTGTGCACACTCCTGGAGCGTTTATGAGAGTGGAAACAAAGCCTGGTTTGTGAATAAATTGTTCTTTATAAATTGTTATTGATAAAATTATTGTGACTTCTGTGGAAAAGAGGAGCCAGAATATTTAGAAGTTCCACAGAAGAAAATCATATGATTTTGGCAACCCAGGCTCATTCGTACCTCTAAATACATTTCTGCAGCACCATTATTATTATAATTTTATTATAATATATTATTATTATTATAACATTATTATTACTGCACGTTTCGTTGAGTTTAAAAGTGAAACGTCCAGTGAGTGGAGCTAAAACGCGGGTTTAATACGTGACCCACGTCACGTATTAAATGTAATGCTTTTGTTACATTGATATAGTATTACTGTGTTTGTATTACGTTGCTTCAGGCACGTATTGCGGAGGTTCATAATTCAAATATCCGAGGAGTGTCGCTAAAAGTTAATATGCTGTATCGTGTTGGAAATATCCCATACACCAAACCCAACCCTAAACCTACCCGATAGTGTTAACAAATGCAAAAGTGATCTAAAAACACATTTGTTGATGCAGCCGTGCTATTTTAACCCCTTAAGTGCCACCGGCCCACAGGTGGGCCCAATGGCGCTCTTTTTTTGTTGTCTTTTTTCTCTATCACATATTTTAGTAATCATCATAAATTATATATCATTTGAAAGCTTAAAACCTCATCCTGTGAAAACCATTTTTAAATCGGACATTGCTTAACCATGGAAATGGTTAAGCAATTTAAAATCTTTTAGCAGTCTCCTCCCCTTAGTGGGTGGAGTCAAGTGTCATATTACAAAATGTATTACGATCTTTCAGAATCAAAAGTTTTTATAATCTTGACAAAATACATATATTTGGAAAGGTCTGAGTCTCAAGATTCCATATTTGGTGGTTATTTTTTGATAGAAGTAATATTGACAGATACATTTAGACCTTCTACTAAATTCTACAGAGTTTTGATGGCACCCGGTGGCTGTTTGTGGTATAACACCCTAAATAAAATCTCACAGGAACCTCAATTTTTTTATATCAACTTCAAATTTGGAACATACCTTATTTAGACATAAGGCTTTAATTTTATATCAATTTTGGATTCAAAAATATTTTGTAAAATATTTACTTTATATAAAATAAAATAAAAAAAATTGGTACAGCGCATTTTCTTTACAGTAAATTTAAACTTCTATAACTTTTTGATACTTTAATATTTTGAAATGATTCCACTTCTGCAGTAATCTGCAGATTGTCTTCTTAAAAAGGAGCCCAACCTTAGGTCTGTATTCCAAACTTTTCATGAATTATAATAATTTAAGTTTGGATGGTGCACTTTCACGTCTATGTTCAAGTCACGTCTATGGGTGGCACTTAAGGGGTTAACGTCCTTATGTGGATTTGAGCTGTTTTGTTGAACCGTAGTTTCACGGGGTTCGTACCGAAGCTCTTCGTCACCTAAGTGCAACGCCGTATCGCGTGAGCTAGAAAACGAATGCGTATGAAGCTGCATATGTGACGCTAACCTTCAAATGCATCAGTTTTCAAATCTCGCAGCATGCTAAAATTGTTTTGAATTCATAACATAATATTCTTCAAGTAATTATGCGAAAATTAGGCTTTTTATTAATCAAAAGTGTGGACCTGCAAATCATACTTTGTGTGAAAAGGAATAAAAGTTGTGGGAGTTTTACTGCCTCTAGTGTTCATTTCAACAGGAAACTGGAGAGATTCATATGTATAAGTACGTTTTTTGAGTTTTGCAGAAATGTAGGTAGATGCACGTATTTCCAATGAGCCTATGTTGGGTTTTGGAATGACATGAGGTTGAGTAAATAATGACATAATTTACATTTCTGCATTCATTTATTTATGTTTGAATTTATTTGAATTAATTCATTTATTTCTATATTCATAACAGAGATGCTTCTCATTAAAACAGGTATGATCATCAACATAATTCGGCTTTTCACTTTTAATTAGATAATTACACAATTATACATACAAGTTAATTAATATACGTGCATATATAATATACGATGACAGAATTTTCATTTTTGGGTGGGTGAACTATCCCTTTAATCCATTTATAATCTCATGGAATTAAGTTATTTTGAAACTGTTGAAACCAGGAAATGTAGTCTGTAATGTTTTTTGAATTATACACAATATCAGTTCTCATTTAGTATGTCTTGTCTCATAATCGTGTTTTTTTTTTTGGTTACACTTTATTTTGATAGTCCACATTAGACATTCTACTAACTATAAGTAACTTTGCAACTACATGTCAACTAATTCTCATTAATTTGCAACTACATGTCTACTAACTCTCAGAGTGGACTGTTAGGTTAGGTTTAAGGTTAGTAGAATAAGTTGACAAAGTCAGTGTGTTGTATGTTGTGGACCCATCAAAGTAAAGTGTTAGCAGATATCAAGCAGAGAGTCTACTAATACTCTAATGACTGCTAGTTGACATGTAGTTACTTACTGTTAGTAGAATGTCTAAAGTACACTATCAAAAAATTTTTTCAATATCAAATGATTTTCACGTAATCCATTACTGGTTTTTACTGGATTACTGGTGTTATTTTACTGGATACTGGAGTGCCCAACTACAAAATTACTCAAATCTCCATTTAGCGTTCTCTCCACCCTTGTTCTCCTCCTGCCCTTGTCTTCCTTTTCTTCCCCCGTCTTTTTCTTAAGCCACCCCCTGCATGGCAGATAATAGCAGCAGCTCCACCAATGCCATTCAATCCGCTCAGCCCTGTAGACCACAGCTGCTCCTCAGAAAAGATGGGGGTGGAAGGAGGCCTAAATGAGATGGCAATAAAAACCTCATTCAGCCGCCGCTGGAGTAACCAACACTGACCTGCCAGTTCCTAAATACACTCTACTTTCTCAAATAAAGCGCTTTGTT